CCACATGAACGTGCTGAACAGAGTAGAGCAAATTGGAGTTCTGACAGGTTGCAGTGGGGTGTCCCACCGTCCAATGGTGCAGAGAAAACGGATAGGGGCACCCCGGGATCCCAGACACCTATAATCGTACGGGCATAAAGTTGCCCGCTCGGAAACCTACACTACTGTCCGGGACCCGACCGCGATACTCGTTATCCGGACTCGAATTAAATTCGAGACCTTTTTCTCCTCTGATCGTATACATCGGGAACAATTTTACATCCGAGGGACACATCGTGCTTTATCAAAAATATTATTATTTAACCTTCGCCCGTTCCTCCTGTCATTTCGACACGCATTCACTGCAACAGAGTCGCTTGTATTTTCATCAGCAAAGAATTTGCTTCAAGTTCCCATGGACGGAGATAGAAATGAACAGAAATCGGTATTCTCGCTTCGAGCGAAGAGTCTCGTTTAATTCTTTGAATATCGCAGCAATTCGATTATAGATCAGACGAGGTCATCGATTGATAACGATCAGACTTCATTTACAAGAAAATTGAATATGCAGCGAGTAGAAAGTATAATATACGAGAGTGCATGGAATACCGGAATCTAGTGTTTATTTTCATTCCTTAAATTGATATTTCGTATAAAAATCGGTGATCTACTCACGGGAGCCTATTTTCCAATCTGCATACATTAACACTGAATTCGAGCGAAGAACGGAGCTCGTTTCGAGCGCTGCGCGTGTGAGCGTTGTGACATGATAAATCGGACGCAGTCGACGTAGATAATTCCAGGCTACGGCGTGTACGCATCATACATAGATACACAGGGAAAGGTATCGATAACGGTAAAAAATAATGTGAATAGTCGTGTAAAGGCCTGTTACGCCGCGAGGAGCCGAGGCGACGGAGCGAAAGACGGTCGAGTTCGTGGCCAACGTCGGGATATTAATTTCACGGTATACCGTGGCGTTATAAAAATAAATTACGGGCGAGAAACGAGCCGTCGCGTCGCGGCTGCCGGATTAAGTAACGAAACGTTCCGAGGACATTTCCATCCGGAGGAGCCCCGGGTTCGTCTCCGAGCGGCCGACCGACAGCCTCTATCGGGATAGCCCGATGGAACGAGAGGAACGACTATAAATCGCGCACATAATGCTGCTATCAACGTGCATTACACGGATGCCGCTTTGTTTGATAAATCGCTAGATGCAAATTGCGTGCGGTCGACGCGGAGACCGGATTGGCTTCGGTTTCTCGGACTGTACGCGATTAGCAGTCGCCGCGCGGCTCGCAGTACTTACCGCGATAATTCCGATTTATCGGAACCGAAAGCGACACGCGTATCATCCTAGAAGTATGTAACCACTGTAACGTTAACTGTGGTAACGATAAACTATGCGATGGAAACGCTATGGCCATGTGAGAAGTAGTTTTGGTCCCTCGAGCTTGAATTTCCAGTCGACGATCGTCTTTTCTCTCGTCGCTTAATGTTATAAATAGACTGCAGTTTTGGGAAGAGTTCAACATTTTTTATAGCAATTTCGAAAATTAAATCTAAGTAGGAATTTCTTTAACTTCTGTTTTTCTTTGTGTTTCCGATATTATTTTTTTTATATTGACGACAGATACGATTTTTGTGATAAGGAAATTATTTAATAGTTCAAGAATTTGCTTATTATTTATTTATTGATTTATTCTATTTCGGGCTACAATTTCATTCTATCTTATATCTTAATCTATGCATTTATGCTCGCGACATACGTACTCAGTTTTATTTTTCAGAATCTTAATGCTTCTCCTTTTTCTTATCCTGTTTTATTTTTATATCTTGTATCATTTCTTTTTCTCCTCGCCCTTCATGTTTCCTATCCTTAATACCTCTTCATCTATCTCACTCCTCTCTTTCTCTCTCATACATTTTGAACTTGTTTTGAACATTTTTCTGTGTTGTGCTCTGTACTCTACTCTATCCATCTACATGTTTTCTTATTCATGTTATTTTCCTTATCCTAAATTCTTAACCAAGAGTTTGCTCATGTTTTCCCCATAGGAAACGAAGACTATACAAAACTGTAGTAAAGACGATAAAGTATGCTACGGTACGTTACGTACATTTATCATACAATACGAATTAATAGGCAAGATTTAGCGACGGTTAATTAAAATGTGGGCTGTTTTGCGGGGCGATAAGAAAAGTACGTGCGCGTCACACCTGATGAAAGCGAGAATCAGTTTCAACGAATTCGCGTAATCGCGACAACGAACGTTAACGTCGCGTGAACGTGTCCATAGTCGAGGTAAAAGGGAATGAAAAAAAGTGAAAGAAAAAACAGGTGAACGGTTCTTTTCAGTCGCGAAGGCGTGTTAGCTTAATAAGCCTGAGTCACCGGCAGTCACGGCTCGGCAAAAAGCGTGCGTAGCCGCGGCGCGGAGCGGGTCGACCGCGGCGAATGCCTCTCCTCGCCTGTACCTACCACCCGTTTCTCGATCAGCCGGCGAGAAAAAATTGAGACGTTCGCTTAATTATCGACACGAAGCGATAACGGCGCGACGTTTTTTTCCCTGGTCGCGCCCACGGTGTCCGCGGCGGTCCCGTGGTTTCGGCTAGCCGTCCTGTTTCCCGTTGGCTCAGTTCGGCCCGCGGTGCCACGCTGGTTATACTGCGTCGCTACTCGCGCCGGGGAATGTCTGGTGGCGCGCGTTAACGCGAGATGCCAGCCGCAGATATCTGAGATATATTTTCAGCGATAATCTCGCCGCTAATAAAAATCACGTTTAATATCGCTCCGTCCTCGGGGATACACGACGCTGTTTCGCAACGGTGTTCGGTTTTATAATAACGTTGGTATATGGGCTGTCACGGTGTCGCCCGGGGAAAAATGGCTTATCGATTTCATTTGACGAAAACAAGTGAAATGAAAGTGAGAAAGTTTTGCTGGAATAGATGTTTTTAGATCAGTCGAAACTTAGTTGCACGTTGCATTCTAGTTTGGAAGTTAGCCTCGCGGAGACACGCGCGCGTGACCGACAGCCCGTCACCTTTTGTCGCGCAGAAGGGTTGAAACTAGGATACGTGGATACGAGAAGTACTACATGGAACGATGAACAGCCGTGATTCGAGCCCGCGACCGCGAAACTATCGATTAATCGAGAGAAAACATGCGCGCGTACTACGTTTCAAGTTAAAATAAGTTGACTTTGTGGAAAATTCGAAGCACGGAACCTGGAATTGTACGTCGGTGCAAGAAAGTGGGCGCTGGTTGTTGTTGTTATTGAAGCTAGAGAGTATTTCGCAAGCCGCGGGAGAAAACTTGTGGCACATTGTTTCAGACAGGAAATCGATACGCAACTTCTCCGGTTGCATCGACTTCGCTATAGCCGCGGGCTCGCTGCTTCCCGGGGCGACGTTAGAAGCGTGCCATAATAAACTCGTCGCTGAAACTTTCAATTGCGATATAAGTAAATCGAGCGAATATCTCGATTACGCGCACGTTGTTAGAACCACTGTCGACTCGGTCTGCGTTATTCCTAAGTAAAACGAGTGTCCATCTCGAGATTGTAGATTTTTTTATTACATTTAACAATTAATTAAGATTTTTTTAAAACAGATTAAGATTTTTTTAAATCACAGTTGGTAATCGGAGTATCTTTTAATTAAAAATGAAAATTCATTCGTTAATTTGAATTTCTTCCAATTAAGTTAATTAAATCATTTTAATTCTTAATTAGACAAATCTGAAGTATGAAGCAAACGTTAATTAAAGATTTAATCAGTTATCTGTAACCCTGGTTGTGTTACGGCCGTAAGGGGTTTCTTTAAAAAGACAAATAGTAGAGATCCAATTTTATCTTTAAATTAAAAGATTTATATTTAAAAGAAATAAACTCTACGAAATTTATAGTTAATGACACACTTTTTATTCGTAATATTCATGTATGTATATTCCGATTTTTATGTTGAAAATGCGTGACCATTAAGAACAGTAGAGGAGAGATTACATAGTTCATTTAACAGGGAAAGATCTAATGACAATGATACAGTGTGCCTTAGGCATTTCAATAGACAATTATTTATAATTATCTTATATAGATCTCGGCAAGTAATGGCATACGACTGGCATTCAGCTTCCGTTCGAATGCTTATTGATTGATATACGAGGTGTAAGGTAAGATCTATTACTTGAAACAGTCTGTCGCTTGCCGATTTCATTCGACAGTGTTCGAAAAAAGAAGTAAATTTTACCTTGTCACTGTAAGAATGTGTCACTAAAATTATATTATAGTATAATTAAGCATGTTATATCAGGTACAAAATTCATGCCGAACTCGTAATAGCTAATGATAAGTTATTTATATCAGAATTTGATTTAGGATTACTATTAGACTTGTCATGTTTCGCTCGACTCTATTTAGAAACGAGGATAATTATTTAATTCAGGATTATTATTAGACTTGTCACATCTTACTCTACTGTATTTTTATTAACTCTCGAATGATCTGGGAGCAATGATATTTACTCATGTCGATCCACATCGTTAATCGTGTGTGATCATCATAGATTGTTTTTTTTGTCAAAACGTAAAAAGGGAGAGTTTCCAGGAGTCTAATTTGCGAAGCGTTTAAGAGCGATCGCGTGCAGTCAGGTTGATTTATTCTGTTCAGCATCGCTAAGTATCAATTGCAAAAGGACTACGAGCGCGTTTCCTGGTTTCGTCTCGATTGGATCGTTACCGTTATCGATTATTAGATAAATTAACGATAAACGACGACGCGGAAGGATGACTGGGAACGCGCGTGACCGCGTATAAAACTTACCAGCCGTCATCGCCTATTAACGTTCGAAACGCGAACAGGATTTATAACGACGCGACGCCTTCCAGCTTATTCCCTGAGACCTTAATTAAGACTTTATAAATCATATCCCCTACTGGCTCGCTCGACTCACTTCCAGGCCAGTACGTCGGTTTCACCGTGCCCACTGTTCAGTTTCTCCTTTTCTATACTTTTCAGATCGTTCTCAACTCGATGCACAGATATCAACCAAGGATACATTTAGTCCGTTGTCGTCAGTTGGAGGACAATAATCTTCACATAACCGATCTTCAGAAGGAGGAGCATAAAACGTTTATATTCCCGGAGGCGATCTTCACCGCGGTGACGGCTTATCAGAATCAGTTGGTGAGCATATTCTCGATACTGATTTTCCACTTGTCCTTCTTTTCGAGCAAATCTCGTCGATGAGTGTTCATTACTTAAAGTACAGTAAAATGTAAATCATACAAACAGAAGGTTATCATTTTTCTTAAATGTTGTAGATTATAGAAAGAAAAGATCATCATTTTTTTTTTTAATTTTCATGTGAATTATTAATTCATTGGAGATATTGTTCATTATTACTTTAGATAGTATTGAAAGCAGAAGACTTTATTTAATATAAGCAGATTCAATTTGAAGAACGTATAATCGTACCCATTTGAGTTATAAGTGATGGTAAATGAGCAGTCTTATCGCGGAATGAGTCCAGCTTTCTGACACTTACGATTGCACGGTCCGAGATGTGAACTTAATTACCGGGTGTACCGTGATCGTGTTCCAGATAACTAAGCTGAAGATCGACAGTAACCCGTTCGCGAAAGGATTCCGGGACTCGTCGAGGCTGACGGATTTCGATCGGTATGTACTGTGTGAACACTCATTCAACTCTAATGTAGACTTGAGGTGGCTCTATTAAAATTCTGAGGTCAAGGAAATATGCGAGCTAAGAGTTTCCAAAGTCTTCGTTTAACACACATTACTATAGTTTACAAAATTAAATTATGATTTTTTAAACGAATTAAAGGAGGATTATTATATAGGAAATAAAATATTTTACAATATTAAGTAATTAAATGATTATATGTTGTTAGTTGATTTTCAATGTATCTGTATTTTTATACTGTATACTTCAGTATTAAAGTACAGCTTTTTCATTATTTTAAAACGTGGATGTTTAATAGTGTCGATACATTTATTACGATTTAAAAAAATAATGTATTATAATTTGATTACGATCAATGATTTGCATTTTAATAAGACCACCTTAAGTATAAAAAATCGACTTAAAAGGATATTCTGATTCCTAATTTAAATGCCATTCCAAACAACTTTTTTTTAAAAGAACGTCAGACACTTTGTATTAAGTTTTGGCACATATACATATTTATTATCGGAAGCGAGTGCACTGGTACCAAATAGGTAGACAGCGCGGCAGTATCAAAGTAAGTACGATGGATCGATTTGTTTCGCCGGTACATATTTCGAGGCATGTACAGTACGTCGAAGAAACGAAGTACGGAGCGAGAGGGAACGGAGAGTGGCGTGCGGAGCGGTTTCGAGCGAGCGAGGCGATCATTACGCGCCATTATAACGTCGGCACCTTAATCATAGCGCCGGCCGAATTATCGCGCGATCTTTTAGATCTCGTTAAAAGTGGAAATTTATACAACGCTAAATGTCGAACGGCAGGGAAAAAGGGAGAGAGAAAGAGGCGCGCTCGGTCCCGAACGAGCGTGCACACACGGACGATGGCTCGATTCCGAGTTTATCCGCGATCATCTATCTACATGAATGACGATGCACCTGGCTCGCTCGCTCTTCCTCCTCGCGTACACCGTTTACGACCGGGGCGGATACACGCGTGACAGAAAAGAATTTTTTTTACAACGAACCAACGAACCGACGGACATACGCGCGCGCGGGCCACCGCGTCAAAGGATTATCGTTAACAGCAACAAAGTAACGTTCCTATAACTCGCGGCGCTATTAATCTTGGCAGATGGACGCTGGCTCGTTATCAGTTTTTACGTGCGTCAGGCGAATTAAACGGCTTCGATCAATTATCGCAATTATCCTGCGATGCGCTTCGAGATCTATCCACCCTTTCCGCCTGCGTTATTATTCCTCCTTTCCGTTGCCATGGGTGGTTACAGGGAAAGAAGAAGATACTAATTCGATTTGACGAACATACTTTATAATCTTGTTGATATGAAATGGAAATCGTGATATGATTAAATTAATTTAATTCAAACATTATGTTCTGATTAATTATGGATGTTTGCATAAAAGAGTAATTTGAAAACGAGAAATCTTCTAACGTTTTCACAAAAGTGAGCTATGAATAGGTACGAGGAATAAAAAAATATTAATTCGATTTGGTAAACGTATTTTAGAATTTATCGATGTAAAATAGAAATCGTGGAATTTCTAAATTAATTTAATTCAAATACCAAAT